CTACCTTTCGGAGATTCTGACCAGCATCCAGTCACCACCCCCAGAGCTCGAAGGCACCGAGGAGTTTGCCCACTTGCTCGCCAGGGTTAGGACTGCTCTAGGCGCTGCTGCCCAGGACCAGGACACTGGCCAGATGGATCCCAAGCTCGTGTTGAAGGTATTTGAAGAGCTCGATGATGCAGTTGATCACGCGCTCCAAGCTGAGGAGGCCAAGGACCGACAAAGTGAAACAACGTCTTGGAATAACTGGGTCCAGGAGGCCATGTCTCGGGGAGTTGGTTGGGCTCACCGCTGGACCTCGAAGCCCACGTCCTGGCAACCTCAGAAAGCTTGGCGCCCCGAGCTGCAGACATTTTCAGGTCGGCCTTCAGAATTGCCCCAGTCCGAGGCAGCCCGTCTCGCAGGATTGTGGCAGGCCGCGCCGCAGGAGCAGGACTTTAACTTGCCGTCGGCCGAGCGTGACCGCCTGGGGCCCATCACGCCTGGTCAGATCAGAACGGCTGCCAAAAGATTCCCAACATCTACCAGCCAGACTTGGAATGGTTTCACCCTCGTCACTTTGCTTACTTCAGCAATGTTGAAGTTGAACATGTGTGTAAGCTTTTGGCAGCGATCGAGGAGATTTGAATATTTCCGACAGCCATTCGTGGCGTTATTATCACGCTGATTGAAAAGCACAAGCCTGACCAGTCGAAGGGCCCCTCGTACCGAGGCATCGGTTTGCTCCCTGCCCTCTGGAGGGCGTGGTCCAAAATTCGCCAGGAGGAAGCTCGTCGGTGGGAAAGGGCCAACAAGAGGCCTTATCTTGCTCACCAGTCTGGTCGTGGTGCGCTTGAAACTGTTTATGCTCAGGCCTTGAAGGCTGAACTTGCTGGCTATCAAGCTGTTCACACTGGTGGGGTTTTATGGGATTTATCTAACTATTATGAGAATGTCAATCGGAAGAAATGGAAATCTCGGGCGATCTCTTCTGGATTTTCGGAGACGCTCACGTGTATTATGATGAATCAGTATGGGGGTCCCAGGGCTGTCGCAACCAGAACATTGGCTATCTACGCGGGGTGTGCTACCAAAGGCTTCCCTGCTGGCTGCTCGCTTGCGACTTACATCGTCCAAGTGTATACGGTTTCCCCCATGGGCTCCTGGGTCCCGAAGTCACTCGGCATCTGAATCAATCAGGGCGGCCGCGTCGTCCATGGACATGGCCGTGGCGAGAGGGATGCGCGGGTTGCCCAACGCAGTCTTGACACCGAGTACACAGTCGCTGACCTAGAGGAGGGTGGGCGCAACGAAATTCAACCCTGACCCCTCTTCCTCGTGCTCGTCCTCTTCCTCCTCCTCCTCCTCTTCCTCCACCCCCTCCTCCACCTCCTCCTCCTGCCCAGCTGGCAGCTCTGTCCGATCACCGGGTCGCCCACCAGGACGACTCTACCGCCAGGGGCGAGCTGCCGATGCATCAGGTTCTCGTGGCTCGAGAAGCTCTCGACGCCCCCGAGTTCTGGCGGGCACGCGGCGGACTGCTTCTGGGCGTTGTGCCAGCCGCGCAGGACGAAGTCGGCGGTCGTCTTGACCCCGCTACTCCTCGCAGGCTTCTCTGCTCCTCTCCTCGGGTTTCAGGCGCCCCTGGGGCCACCTGTGCGTCGAAATCGCCAGTCTGCTTAGTGTTGTTTGCGCGGCTGCCTATGAGCGCCATGGACCCGTCGTCAATCTCCGCCGTCATCAGCTCCACGGGGGGCTGCGCCATGGTGCACGCCAGAGGCGGCAACGCAAGCATAACAAGGTGCCCCCCCGAGGGCCATCTTCCGCTGCATCGGATGACGCGGTGTGTGGATGCGGTGGAACTGTGTAATGAGTTGTGCAACACCAGAACATGAAGCGGGGTTGCCTCGAGCCTTGAGCCGACATAGCTACGCAGGATACTGGGATACGGCTACTACACAGGAGCCCGCAGTAAATGTTGCGCAAAAGCGCGTCCCTAAGAATGTCCGCTTCGCTGGCTCTGCCAACTCCCCTAATCTAAGCCCTTCGCCCTCCGCCTCATCTCGTCATCATTTTCCTCCCGTCAAGCCAGTCTTCCTCATCATTGTTGGTTTCCCTTTGACTCCTCCTCCTCCCTCTTCTCGTCCCTCCTTTGTTCCGCATCCGTTGCTCCTCCTATTCCTCTTTCGCCACCCCCTCTTCTCGCCTCTCCTCCTCCACTTCGTCGTCCACCTCTTCCTCCTCCTGCTCCTCACCCTTTCTTCCCCTTCTCGTCGTCCTCGTCCTCCTCTTCAAGACCTCTTTCCTTCTCGTCGTCCTCGTCCTCCTCTTCAGCGAGTGGGCGCGCAACCTGCTGACTATGAGCATCTTGCTCCTCCACACCAGACGGGTGCCTCCAGCTTCGCAGGTGCCTTGCAGCGCCACTGACGCCGCCGTTTTCTCCACGCGCGTTCCTCCTGACGCCCTGGGTATGCATCTACGGCATCTCTGGGGCGCCCTGCAACGGCGCAGACGAGGGTGACGACGGCGAGGAAGAGCAATGCGAGGAAGAGCAGAAGCAGGACCAGGAGGAACAGAGATCACAGGGACATGAGGAGCGAGAGCGCCTCCGCGCCTCGAGGCTCCTGCGGCAGCACATGACCTGAGCATGACTTTGGCACAGGCCACCTGCCCCGGGCAGAACCCACCCCAGAACGGCCTTTCGGTTATACGGCTCCTTCTGCTGCTGGTTCTTCCTCATCCTCCTCTTGCGCCCCCTCCCTCCTCCTCCCTCCCGTCCTCTTCCTCCCCCGTGTCCGTTACCACTGTGCTGAAGAGCACAGTCCCCTGTCGATCTCCGTGGCCCACAGACGGATTAATACGGAACTCTGCACCTGAAGATTCTGGCACTCTGGCACAGCTTCGGAACTAGTAGAAAGGGAAGAAGAAAGGAATGTATGCACCGAGGAGGAGGATGGATGAGAAAGGAAAGGAGGACGAGGAACAGGCGCATGAGGAGGATGACGATCCGGCGTCATCCACATGCACGCGACCTTCGTGTGCTGTGGGGGACTTGCGGTCCGTCTGCCCACCCAGGGCGCAGCAAGGGATGCGTCTATAAGGTCTCAAATCGCCCGTCCTAGTATCGCCTGTGGCAACATTCGCGAGCGGGTGCAATTCTGGTGCCAGCAGTTCTGCGGAAACGTCGAGACACCACTCGCTCCTCCCCCCACGCAGGACTCCTGAGGAGGCGAGGCGTGCAAGGAGGACGAGCAGGATGAGGAATAACAGAGTATGCAGAGTGGCGGACCGATCAGCACGTTCTTTCTCGCGGGGAGGCGCCTGCGAGCGACGGGGTGTCGCGCGAGGGTAGCCAACACGCGGGTGGGCAGACACATCTCAACATTGTTCCAAGCTGGCTGGGGGCCCCAAGGCTGCTGGCGATCCCCTGCCAACTATGGCAAAAGGCTTGAGGCCTGTTGTCAGGTGGGACTCGGTATAGGCGGTGGCGGCGAGCACCTCGGCCCAGGCACATGATGCCATCGGGCCAGTTGGTTTCGTTGACCAGAACTGGGGCCGACACCAATAATTACGGAGGCGCACGCAACTGAATGCCCGTCTTTACGCGACGTGGAACGACGACAGCGGCATGCAGCGCAGAGGTGTTGTCCATGAGCCGATGTGCTCTCTGGCTGGGAGCGCTCGCTCACCATGTGCAAACGGCTGCCATGCAACACTTGATGGGGCTTCGCACAGCAGCGAGGCCGACGGCTTGAAAGTCCCGGGTTGCTGGATAACACGGCAGAAGGAAATAACTAGTGCACAGTCCCCCGCTCCCCCGAACTCGAAAGCTGGCACGCGCGGGGCAGACTGCGGTCGCAATGCAGCTCGTTCAACCCACCGCCACTGTGGATCATTGGGGGGAGGCGTTGGCAAATCGCCAATTTCTTCCGAGGCACTCGGAGGCACGCGCGCAGCGAGGCACGTGCATGTATGCATGCATGCATGCATGCATGCATGTATGTATGTATGTATGTATGTATGTATGTATGTATGTGTATATATATATATATGTGCGTACATATGTATGTATGGATGTATGTATATATGTATGTATGTGTATGTTTGTATGTCTGTATGTATGGATGTATGCCTGTATGCATATATGTTTGTATGTATGGATGAATGTATGCATGTATGTATGTATGTTTGTATGCATGCATGTATGTATGTGTGTGTATGTATGTATGTATGCATGTATGTATGTATGTATGTATGTATGTATGTATGTATGCATGTATGTATGTATGTATGCATGCATGTGTGTATATGTTTGTATGTACGTATGCATATATATATATATATATATATGTGTATGTCTGCCTGTATGTATGTATGTATGTATGTATGAATGTATGTATGTAGGTATGTATGCATGCATGCATGCATGGGTGTATGTATCTATGTATGTACATATGCATATATGTATGTATGCATGTATGGATGCATGCATGCATGCATGCATGTATGTATGTATGTATGTATAGACGGATGTATGTATGTATGTATGTATGTATGTATGTATGTATGTATGCAATAAAAAACGCACATCGTCCAGGGACGAGTTTTCTATGACGTGTTGTCTATATTTGAAGACGTGTTGGCTACTTTTTGTGTTCCTTCCAAACGCCGCCTGTAGGAGGACATGCCCGACCTAATGCTAGCATCACAACTCAGACGCTCTGCGTCTAGCCGCTGGGCCTGGGCCTGCAGAGTTACGCGGGCAGGCTCGAGCAACTCCCACAGATGCTGTGGGCCAATATCCATGTCGGGGGAGTCCAAGAGGGGGGGGGGGGGGGCAAATCATGTCCGGCGGCATGCGCTCGGCGCAGGGGGAAGGCCTGGGACGTGATGAAATAATAAGGGGCGCCATGACATCGGAGGAAATATCAAGGCCCACGCCATGATATCCGCTCCCCCCTAGTCGTCACCCCCCTCTTGGCCGCCCACGACCACGTCCGCCGATGCACATGCATCCGCAGCTAGAACGGAGCAAAGGCTGGCCGACAGAGCTCGCCGAACGCTGCATGAGCAGCGACATCGAGGATACCTTCGAGCTTGCTCGCCTCCGCTGGGACGAGACGGTTAGGCGCCAGTTGCTCGTCCAGCATCGCCACGCACTTGTCGTGGGACGCATCGCGCATCCATGAGCGGACCCTGCCAGAGGTGATCTCGCGGAGGCAGAGACTCGCGCCCAAGAAATGGCTGGCGGGTTGCTTGCGCTCAGGACGCTTGTGGCCAGCACGGGGGAAGCTTTGACGCTGAGTACCAGCGCCACTGCTCATCCGCATTCCTCCTGCTCCTCCTCCTCCTCCTCCTCCTCCTCGTCATCCTCCTCCTCCTTCCTGCTCACTTCACTTCCCTCTGCTGCTGCTTCCCCTCATACGCCGCACCCCCTCCATAGAAAGCTAGCGAATTGCCGGCTGAAGCTGCGTCTACGAATGTACCTATCTACGGTCGGCCGTTGGCCGCGAGTTCAAACACTTCCAGCTGGTGAGGGTCTGCGTGCTGCCGCTCGTCGCCAATGGTGCCCAAGTTCCCCCTCCTCCCCCTCCCCCTCCCCCCTCCTCCTCCTCCTCCTCCTCCTCCTCCTCCTCCTCCTCCTCCTCCTCCTCTTCCCTACTCCTGTCCTGCTCGTTGTCCTCCCCCTCCCGCCGCCGCCTCCTTCTGCTCCTCATGCTTCTTGTCCTACCCCGCCTCTGCCCCCCGTGCCCAGTCAACTTTCTCCTTCTCCTCCTTCGTCCTCCTCCGCCCGTCCTCTGTCTTCTGATCGCTCTCCCTCCCTTCCTTGAACTCCTCAACTCGTTCTCCTCCTCCTCCTCCTCATCATCATCCGCATTCTCCAACCCCTCATCCCCCGCGTCCTCTGTTTAACTTACCTGTTTTTCCTCTGCTCGGCCTACTCATTGTATTCAGCCCCTTCCTTGAAACAGATCGTCTTCTTCGCGCAGCCAGGCGTGGCGGTCGGGCGTTCTGGGGATTTCAAAGACGTGCCCGCAATTTCTGTCAACTAGTGGGATATGTGACCGTTCAAGAATATGTCTTCCGCCATGGCGCAATTTCTGTCAACTAGTGGGATATGTGACCGTTCAAGAATATGTCTTCCGCCATGGCGCCAGACACGTTCGTCTTAATAGACACAGGTTCAGCACACGCCGTGTTCACCATGTTTTTCTCGCCTTGGCGCCGCACGCGTTCGTCTTTCAAACTGCCAGCAGCTGCACCACTGGAGTCCGAGATCGTTTCAGAACTTGGTGTTCGCCTCATCGCTGAGCACATTAGCTACAACACTTGCCAGGAACAACGCACTTGGGAGGCGGATCTTTTTTTCTCCACAAATCTGGGAATGTCGCTTATCGCCACTCAAAATACATGTACACAGGTTCCAGCATTCGAGCGGATGGATGGCGACACCTGTTAAACATCTGGCTGTTGCCTCAGACTTCCCCAAACTTTCTGATGCAGCTTCAGCTTTCAAAGGAACTGCAATGTTGGATGGTTGTCCGTCTTCAAAATCGAACCCTCGTCCTGTAAAAGAATCACCTACGATGCAAATTGACGCAGGCGAGGGCACATGATGACGTCACGTCGCACTCGCAGCAAGCAGGCGCCGACACCATCGTCGACGCCAGCAGCATTTGTCAACATATTACCCGTTAACGTTACGAGTTGGAATTCTTTTTCAGGCAGGCTGCCTGGCATTGATGCAGAGGTCCTGGCCTTGCAAGAGACGCGTCTCAACTTGAAGGAGCAGATGCCTTGTGCTTGTGCTGCTCATGGTTTTGTTTTGTTCCCTGCTTTGGCCTCCCATTACGTGCGCAGCTTTGTCATGGGGCCAAGTATCATCGGAATGCTCAAGGAGGCGTTGCAATACTTACCATATCATCTCCCTGGAGTGGAAGGCGGACAAAAGTTTGGTGCTGCAATGGAGCTCTATGCTACATCACGTTGGGTACGACCGATGATTATGGCAGGAACTACACCGATACACATCATATCTTTACATACTGAGTCGGGTCACGATTCGTTGATACGCACAAGACATGCACGCAATTTCCAGTACATGTTCGAGGGTGCCGAGGCTCTTGGGGGGAGATCAGCCTATCATTATTTGCGTGGATTCTAACACTACTATTGCAGAGTCCTCGACGTTGGCCGGGTGTGCAAACATTGCAAGCGCCAATTCAGATTTCAGAGTCCTCCCCCAGCAGCCCAGCAAGGAACCGCGAGCCCACGAGGCAGGCAAAGAGGCGTGGATTCGATCAGGAGACGCGGCAACATTGCAAGGGCACGCGCCTGATGATTTGCCTTTTGCAGAAACAAGTTGATGCCGCATAAACATCGCAACGCCAGGATCTCAGGGTCCTCCTCTGAGTGGCAACGATGGGGGGGGGGACTGGCGTGGGAGGGGGGACACATCGACCTGGAATCGGCGATGCATCGCCGATAGACCGGCGATGGGCCCCGGACAGGGAATCCGCAGGCTCCTGGGCAGGTTGGGACTCTCGGGCCCCTAACGGCGATCCATGGGCCACTTGGGGTCGATGCATCCCCCCCCCTATGCCTATCCGCCCCTATCTGAGGAGAATACAGTCGGGGCCCTGAAGAAGGAACCCTTTTCGTTGGGGAGGGGCTCCGTGTTCCTTAATTGTTTCGCAGCTTGCCTTGGATTTTCCTTAGGTTTTCGATACGAAATCGAAGTTCAACTTATGGAAAATAGGGGACTCGTTCCTTATTTAGGGTTCCTTAGGTCAGCGCCCCGACTGTGAGTGTCGTGTTGGGAGGGAGCGGCTGTGAGGATGAAGGGTATGAGCAATAGCGCCAGGATGCCATGAACGATACCTTCGACCCCGCCTACGGGCAAGGATATCCTCATTTCTCCCAGCCCCATCCTCCGAACCGAGAAGTGTGTTCCTGTCAAATCGTTGCCCCCTGAGGGGAGGAACCAAAAGGTACCAATACGTACCAATACGTACCGATACCGCTACTCCCCGGACCTCTCCCGGGATGCGTTCTGACCAGAACTTCGGGGCGAGTCCAGCGGTGGCGACGAGGGCCCCCCCCAGGAGGCCCCCAAAAGGAGGGGAACGGGGGAAGGGGTAGAGGTAGGGGCACCCTCTCTCCTCCTCCGACTGCTCCTTGCTTCCCTCCCCTGGACCCGAGGCAGCGGGACGCGACGCGCGGCGCGCGGGCTCGTCACAAGTACACGGGCTGCACGCCCTGGCGTGCGGCCGCGGCCGCCGCTCCCCGGGGGACCCTTCGCGGCAGGGCGCCCGCGGGGGCCTCGAGCTGGCGGGGCGCGGGCGGCCCCTGCAGGGGCAGCCGCTCGCCGGCGCCCGCGGGCGGCCCGGTGCCGCTGGGGCCCGCGGGGTGGAGGACACACCGCGGGCCGTCCGGGGAGGAAGGACGAGACGAAGCCAGGCGAGACCGGGAGATCCACCCACCCAAAGAGGGAAGGGGGCAGGGCCGTTCAGGAAGCGCCCAGGGCCGTTTCGTCAACGCCAGTGGTCGGGTCTGGGCGGTTGTTCATCCCTTGCATATCGCGTCGTAGAACAAATCAAGGCGGCAAGTGTTTCGCTGTTTTCGGCCTCTGGGGGGCCCTCGCCGGGCCCTGGGCATGTCAAAAAACGACTGAAGAGGAAAAACTGGTC